TAGATCACAGGATAACAAAAAAAAATTCAAAAAATGTATAAAAACTTTAACAAACACCAACTTCGGCGATGTGGCATAACTAAATCTGAAAAATGTTGTAGATATATCTAAGATAGTACCAATATCCTAACTAAATTAAACATCTTCTTTTTTTAACGAATATATTTGCTGAACGATTATTTTATACGTAAAACGAATAAAATAATATAGACGGGAACAAATACAGTATCGGACAAAACAAGTGCAACCAAATAATGCTAATTTAGTTTCTTTATATAAAAGTGCTGCATTTTTCCAATTTAGAGAAATAACTATGTAACTGTTTAGAGACAACATTCTTCAAGTTTTATTCATCACAAAGTTCATTATTTGTACACGAAAATTAATAAATTAATCAAAAGTTATAAAAAAAAGTTGATTTCGTTCTGGACAAAACAACTCCACAAAACGTTGACCAAGCTGTATTTTGCTATCAATACTTTGTGGCGAATCCTTTGTTGTCGATCACAGCCTTGCATCTTCGAGTCATAAATTCAATTAGGTGATCAATGAAACTTTGCGGAATCGCTGCCTAGGCCTTTTGGATTTGTTCAAACAGCTGATCCTTATTACGAACACCTTCACGATTAATTCTGCAGTTGACAATCTCCCACAGGTTCTCAATAGGGTTGAGATCCAGAGATTGAGGTGGCCAATCCATCACTGATAGGTCGTTGTCTTGAAACCGCTGCTTGACTACTTTTGCAGTGTGTTTTGGATCGTTGTCTTGCTGAAAAACCCATTTTAATGGCATATTCCATTCAGCATGAGGTAACAACATCTTTCAGGATATTTTTATACATGAAGCAATTCATTATTCCATTGATTCAATGTATTGGACCTAGACCGTTAGTAGAAAAACACCCCTAGACCATTACATTGCCTCTACTATGCTTCACGGTCTTATGGTAAGGTAAATCGAGGCGTTTTCCGGCCGGTCGACATACACAGCAAATGCCATTGCTCCCAATGATGTTGAACTTTGATTTATCACTGAACAGGGCAGTTCGCCATTTCTTCACATTTCAATCAATATGAGATGTAGCAAACAGGAGTCTTTTCTTCCGGTTCTTTAGTGAAATCAGCGGTTTCTTTGCAGAGCGTCGAAAAAACAATCCAGCTTCAACAGCACGTCGTTGTTCGGTCTGATACAGGCAGCTCTAATTGCTTTTGTATCTCGGCTGATGATATCCAGGGATCCTTCTTGATGGATCTGACGATCATAGAATCTTCTCTAGAAATGGTGGAACGGGGTCTTTCACCTTTGTTATCTGCTGCCAACTTTCCCGTAGAACGATATTTGGAACATAGTCTTGATAAGGTCCATTTTTCCACGCGATGTTTAGCACAAATACTTTTTTGTGACATTCCACTTACGTAATCGCCAATAACTTTCTTTCTTAGTTCCAATCCAAGACTGTCGGGAGCCATTTTTGCACTTGAGGTCATAAAATTAATAAAAATAAAATAATCACGCTTCTCAAGGCTTACCTTGTTACATTCACCTTGTGATGATACAATAATGCTCTGCGGAACACAACTTCTAGATACTTCTTTAATTATTAAAAAACTTCCTTGACACAGACCAGACTTAAGAAAATGAAACAAACCAAAAAATCTGTACTTGTTTTGTCCGCTGCAAAATGGCACTTGTCAACAAAATTTTGCCTGTCACCTGTCAGCTGATTGCTCATGTCATGGCATGCTATGACTCCAGACTCCTGAACTGTTTGCTGTAGTAGTATAGTTCGTTTCGTTTTTAAGACATGTAAAATTAGGAACACTTAATAGCATTGTTCGATGTTGGTCGCAAATGTTTTGTCCAATACTGTATATTTGTTTTAACGAATATTCAAGAAGCATTTATAAGTTGAACAACTATTCGTTCAGTAATCGTTTAACAAATAAACTGAAAACAAATATTTGTAACTGTTTAACGAATAATCTTTAAAAAACTCATTTATCAAATAATCGTTGCGCTTTAACTACAAGTACTTAATAATATTATTAAACTATAAATTAATTTTAATTAGTATAGTGAGTAGTAAGCATTTTATTTATTTTACTGTTTTTTAAAAATTTCTTTATATAAATGATAAACTAGAGCAAAAAGTTGAAAGCAGATGATGGTTTATGTACAAAATATGTTAAAAATGGAATTAATGGTTTTAATGAAGTATAGAATGCTTACTTTGTGTTAAATTTGATTTATTTAATTTATTAATATCATTAAACTGTTTATTGATTTTGGCAGAAAGAATATGATCATAATATAAAACTTTTAGATATTAATATTAATCAGGACCATTCAAATAATGATGGCGGTAAAGACACAGGAAATAAAAAATTATATTCATGCTTAAAAGGACTACCAAGTCCCGAGACATGTTGTGTTCATATTAAAAAGAATGTTAAAAAAAAACGTCTGAGCAAATATTTTTTGATTAAAACTAATTAATAAATGTATACCAAACCTTGTTGTTTTAGTCGAAGCTAGTCTTCTCAATTTTCTGCAGTATTTGGAGTCTGTAAAATAAACGCCATTTTCCTGGTGCATTATACAGACTTGATAATTTATTCAAGTGCGTTTAATTCATAGAAGTTTTAGTACATGACGTCATAGATTTTTTTGTTTGTTTGTTTAAAACACGGATTATTTTTTACATGCAATTTCCAAATCATATTCATTTTTATTATATTTTAAAGTTCTAAATTGTGTTTTTAAAAAAATAAAAACAAAATAGTATTTTATTTATGCAAATTTTTTTTAAATAATTGTCTAGACATGTATTTTGATTTCTTTTGTTATAAGTTTTTCTTTCAAGGTACTAGGTAAAATAATTTTTAACCTAAATAATAATGCACTTTTATTAATTTACTTTGTAAATATTAAAAAAAAAATTATTCCCTAGGTCCACCATCGCCATGGACCTAGGGAATAATTTTTTTTTAATATTTACAAAGTATTAATCCCTAGGTCCACCATCGCCGTGGCCCATGTAGCCATGGCTCTGATAGCTACAAAAAAAACAAAGTTTTTTTCAATGTGAAGATTTTAGAAAGTAAAATAACTAACTATAGTTAGTTATTTTAGTAAAAATTAATAGTAAAATTTTTAAAGAATTTCTAGAATGTTTCTAATGACATCATGTACTAAAACTTCAATGAATTAAACGCAGTTGAATAAATTATCAAGTCTGTATAATGCGCCTGGAAAATTGCGTTTATTTTACAGACTAAAAATACCGCAGAAAATGGAGAAGATGAGCTTTGACTAAAACAACAAGATTTGTTTTTCTTGGTATACATTTATTAACTAGTTTTAATCAAAAAATATTTGCTCAAACGTTTTTTTTTAACATTCTCTTTAATATAAACACAACATGTCTCGGGACTTGGTAGTCCCTTTAAAGAAGTGTTTGAAATTTTCAAGTTATTTGGTCGCCAAAATTTACCACATGCCAACTTCAATAAATAAGGAATTTTATGAAACTTCAATAGATAAGAATATTTTATTGTAATGGTGAAATTGACATCCTGAAAAGATACAATTTTGCATGAGCATTTACAGCAAGCTATTAAGAATACGAAATTAGGAGAGGAGAGGACAGAGAAAAATTAAAAAAAAATAATTCAAAAAGACAGAGATCACTTGTTACTTTTTTAAAAAAAATTTATTCAAAAACTACTGTTGATAAATAAGGAAATTTTAAAAATGATGAAAAATCAAATTAAAACTGAAATTGATGATCACAAATTCAGAATACAAATAGATAGCACTATTGATAGAACTATGAACAGGATATAGGTGTTATGGATTAAGCATATTTGCTATATTATATAATGGTAATATTTAAAGTTTTTTTTCCATTCTACAAATAAAGAGTTCCAAAAGTGAAGAACAAATTACTAAAATTGAACATATAATAAAATATAGTACAAATATGGATTTAGTAGTAATTAATGAATCAAGCTACTTTTAGATAAATTTAAATTTGTTTAAAAAGAGCTTGATCACAACAGTTCTGTTATATCAAACAGGCTATGATTGCCCTTATAATTCTGCTCTTGAAAAATTAAAATTCTGTATTGTCAAGCAATAGCTATATGATATCACATCATAATATCCTTATAACAAAAATATAAATCAAATAAACCCTGTAAAAATTTGATGGATAACATAACTTAAGTTAGAGTTCTTTTAAAATCCAATAATAAAAACTTATATTTTTTTTTACTTTAAAACTATTTAATTTAATTGACAAAAAACTGGTAAATGATAATCATAAAATTTATGGTGAAAGGGTCAAAGTGAACATTCTTGCAAAGTAAAGTAAAAATTCTTGTATTAGCTTGTTTATGCAGCATAAATACTATTAAAGTATTTACCAAGTATCGTTAGTTCTTACATAAATATGCTTTCTTTATGTAACTTTTTTCTTCTATCCATTTATAAACAAGAAGCTTAATGACTTATCAATTCTACCAAAAAAGAATATTTGATAGCATAATCCTTCTTCATAAAGAAGAACATAGTTCAAAATATAAAAGTAAAATCTATTACAACATAGTACCATATTCCAAGTCCTACTTCAAAGTAAAAAGTAACATCACCCTACACCCGTTTTTAAAAATAAATATAAACATATTTAGGTATAGTGTCTAAAATTTTATTTGAAATTTATTTTTGACCTTTATGTACCTGAGACAAGTTCCTTACCTTAAAAATAAATCATGCACAAATTTGTTTGTTTATATGATTTCTTTTTAAACACAAACATTTTTTATGGTCCATTGAGAACCTTTAATAAACATTTATAAAAAGTGAAAAAAGTCACAACCCACTTTTATTTTATAAAAAAACATTTTTTCAAAAAGCTTATTTAAATAAAATAAAAAACTCAAGCATTTTGACCTATAGATAAAATAAATTAAGAACTAAAGTTTAAAAAATTGTATACTCAAAATATGCAGAAATGGCTTTTGAGGCAACTATTCTAACAGAATCAGAAGCATCATCTAATCGCTTTAAAAACTCAGGATAAATTGCATGAAGTTGTGGCACTGTAAAAAAAAAAATAATGATAATAGTTTTAATGTTATTAAAAGTATTATTCATATACTTATATATTTTTATTTCTTATATAATATATAAGATTATAATTATGTTTGCATTTTCACTTTAGCAAAAAAGAACTTTTAAATAAAGTTATATTAGACTTAAAAAGAAATGTGACTTTTTTGCACTTATGACATAAAGAATTTTAGTTTATATCAGCTGTTATTTTTATATTATAACAATATTAATATTAGAGTTAGAAATGAACAATCTTGTCTCACTTATAAATTGATTCAAAGTTATTGATTAGATTATTTCACTTCAGAGGCAATTCAAATCATACTCATATCGTATCAATTGGTACTTGCTATTTTTCTTTATTAGTTCTTTTATAACAAAAATTTTTGTAATTTGAAAGTTTCAAAACTCATTCCCCTGTGTTTCAAATGTTTTTCCATAGAGCTAAAAATGCCCAGTTATAAAAGTCAATGTATTTTACATAATAATCCGTAACTTAAAATAATACTTGTACTTAGACTAGAGACAAAACTACTGATAAAAGAAGTGATGAATTAATTTGGATTGTGAAACACACAGAACCATGATGAAGCAATTGAGTTGGTTTTATGGGCTAAAAAAACATCTCTAATCTTGAAAAAATATTTATTATAAAAAGTATTTTTACATAATTTATTAAGTAAATAATTAATATTGTTAATAAATATATTATTTTAAAAATATAAACTTAAGAATTAACTTTATGATACCATTTACAATCATTTATTAAGCCATTGTAATTCGATTGCATTAAAGTAAATATTTACCTACAAATTCACCTTTGCTCACTCTTAGAATTTTTAATAAAACTTTAATTGTTACAAGTCTAGTAGTTTCATTGTGATCATCAAGGCAACTAATTATCTAAAAATAATCAAATATAAATCAAATATTAGTATCGTATAAATATGAATGATATAGCCAAATAACAATTTTATATATTGTTATAACAAATTTTATTTGTTACATAAAACTTATTTTTTTAAAACTAAGAAAAGATGGAGTAATACTGCAACTATCTCTTTAAAAAAATTCTAGCTGTACAAACTTGATTGCATAAGGTTTGAAAAAAAAAAAAAACATTCATTCGACTATATTAAATCATTTGTAACAATAATAACATTTAACAACAAAATAATCATTATGGGATAAAAAAATATTACAGAGCTTTAATCATTAATTCCTAACAAAATAAGAACTGTAATAATTCTTTATCTGATTAAAGACTTGAGAAAAATTTAGAAATACAATTTATTTAAAGCTTATTGAATATCTTGTTTTTGAATGTTTTTAATGTTACCAATTATTTAAAATAGCTGTTTTTTTCATTTTTAAATATGTATTAGAATGAATGTTTTGCTTTTATTAATGTTTATAAATACAAACATAGCATATTTAAAGGGCTTTTAAATATGTTATGCTTTTCAAAGTTTAGGTTTGTTATTAATTTGTCACACAATTTTAAATATCTCTGTGTAATATATATTATATTATTTAATATTTCCATGTAGAACTCTATAATTTATTACTATTAAAAAAGGCAAGAAATTAGAGATTTAAAAAAAAAAGTGTTAAAAATAATAGCTTAAAATGCAGATGTATGAAGTAAATATTAAAAAAAATAAAAATAAAATGTTATTACACTCCAAAAAAAACATAGCATAGTAATTGTTACTTGCATTTCAAAAAATTTAATTTTTATAAAAGTCTGTTAGTAGACAGAACATTTAAATTTAGCATCTATACCAGATTGTTTATATATATGTATACTTATTAGCAGCTCATCTTCATAAATACTAAAAATGCATATTTTTGTAGAACGTGTTAATTCTAAAAACATTTTTCAAACAAAAAAATTAAAATCTTTAATTTATTTGCAACTCCAAAAATTTCAAAACCACATTTTTCACCTGTTTCTTTTTTGGTTTAGCTTATTTACCCAACCCAATCTACTATAGCATATTTATGTAACAAATTTGTACCATATTTTTGTTAAATTATTCAAATACCAATTTTTAGAAAAAAAAGAAAAAAAAACAAAGAGTAATGAAAGATTTCTGCCCCATACTAAACCCTCAGTCGATAATATAATAATAATATTATTATATTATTATTATATTAAGGGTTTAGTATGGGGCAGAAATCTTTCATTATTCAGAGTGCTGCGAGTCAGACAAATAGTCTGACTCGCGGCACTCTGCTGCGAGTCAGACTATTTGTCTGTTAATCTATGTACTGAAGCCCACGGCAGCAGGCTATTTAAGTATGAGGTCAGAATGCTCACCTAAACCAGCAGTATAAGATATATATGTATATATATGTATATATATATATATATATATATATATATATATATATATATATATATATATATATATATATATATATATATATATATATATATATTTAAACAATTTAAAATGTATTCTCCAAAAAGAGTGCTCAATGTTCTTAAAAGAACAGAGCAATTACAAATTAGTAGAAAATCACTTTGCAAAATTTTTTCTCAATTTACACTGTGTTTCATCAATAAAGACTCATCAGAAATCTTTCAATTCAAAATCAGATTTCTGATGAGTCTCTATTGATGAAACACAGTGTTAAATGAGAAAAAATTTTACTAAGTGATTTTCTACTAATTTATATATATATATATATATATATATATATATATATATATATATATATATATATATATATATATATATATATAATTTTATAAGTTATTTTGAAAAATACCTGCATTTGTGATTCGTTAAATGCTTTTTTTAATTCATTTCCACGCAAAACAGACTGGAGCAAAGCCCATAAAAAAGACATAGCAACTGAACGAACAGCTGCAGCAACTCTATGAATAAAAAAACAAAATGTTAACAAAATAAGTAGCCATGTATAAACATGTAAAACTTTTATTAAACAATCAAATCAAAATATTGTTATCAAATTTAATATTAATACTAAATCAAATGTTATAAAAATTGAACTTGGTGTTAAATTTTTATAACATTTGATTTAGCGTTGACATTAGACTTCTCATTTAAAAAATTCACTTAATTATAATTTTAATTTATTATTGCTTAATCATTTACTACTTATATCAGACAAATTTTCTATGCAAAATTTTTTTCTAAATAAAATTTCTTTTGTTTTAAAGTACATTTTAAAAATAAAAATAATAAAAATACTTTGTTTTGATTTTGGTTCAAAAAAAAATGTCTGAATTTATGTCAAATATTATCAGAAAGTTAATTATAAAATATATTTTTTTAATGAATATTTACATTTTGTAAAATTTATTACCTTTTACAACTAATACAACACAGCAGTTATTAATTGTGTAAAAAGAGTGCTTTTGATATAAATAATGTAATTCAGTAGTAGACATGCTAAATTACTTAAAATATTTAAGTTAATTATAATTTAGTATAACTTTATTGCACATTAGTATAGTTGCAGTCAAAACATTATTTTAAAATTAAAAGATATACTCTTTTTTTAAACTCTACCTCCCTAAATCAAGGGGTCATTCAAAATTATGCATTTAAAAAGGGGTTTTTTCAATCCTATAACTTCAAAATACCTTAACAATCAAGACTACTGCTGAAGAAATAAGATACATGCTATCCTACCAAGGAAGTGGAACTTGGTACTAAGGGGTTGAAACTGAACTTTTTTTTACAAAGCAAACACTCTACAACTTTGCCGCTAATGCGTGATTTTAAATATTAGAAATTATTTATTTCTATTGTTAGCATTCAATTTAGTATTATGTAACAATACTAAACAAAAGAATAATGATTGAATTAACCTTGTTTAATCAAAGTCTGTTAAAAATGCTTTACACAATTACTCGACACTTTTTTTTAAAAGTTGTTACAACTTCACAGAAACCACAAAATGCATAATTTTTAAAATAACACAGACCAGCTTTATAAACATGCGCTCACAAATAGGTATGCAAAAGTCACAAAATCAAAATTTATCCCTGGTCTTTGGTGTTCAGGTGTTCCAAATATGTATGGATTACTTTGGGGGAAAAAATCGGAACTTTTAGAGTATAGAAACACCTATTTTAAACCTGGAGCCCTCAAGTTAAATGACAGCAAAAAACTTGTAAACTCTAAGTTAAAAATAATAGGTTTCAAGACTTCAAATTCTTTATACTTTTCTCTCAAATTCTATAAGTCTATTAAGATTTTTGGAGCTCAAAAATCTTAACAGACTTATCAAATGTCTATAACAAATAGTGATTCAAAATTTAGTTTCCTTTTTGAGATTTGAATCACAGTAAATTAAAAACAAAGAAGACTGCGAACCATATAACAATAAGTTGAAACCACATAGCAACATTTTATTAAAATTGTAAATTTTAATCAATTCTAGAAGTAATGCTCTGTATAGCATTTTAATGATCAATAAAATATGTACTTGTAAATCGCTCTAAACTCAATCTCAATGAACTGTAAAAAATGTACTTAAAATAAATGCTAATAATAACCTAATAACAATCAATAATAAACATTTAATAATGAAATACCTTCCAGCTTTCCAAATGCAGTTGGGCAAAATTGCATCTTTGATTATTGAATCAATATGAACTTGAAACTTTTTAACAACATCTTCAGTTAATGGATTTAGAACGAGCTGCGCCATGAGAGTAAAAAATCTACACAAAAATAATTTTTTTTTAAATATAAATAACCAATTAGATTGAAGCATGTTATAATAAACAAACCATTGGATTTTACAGCAAAGAGCAAATGGTCATAAGTAAACCACTTTTGCAGTTAAAAAACTATAACTATTAAATAAATTTGATATAAGTTCATCATCAATTTTTCTTTTAAAGTTCATTTAATTTGTTTGACAAATATTGAAGACTTACTGTTTAATTTGTATAATATAATTAATTATACCAATGTATAATTAGGGATAAAACCGTGGCTTACTAAATAACAGGGCTTGCCAATGTGTGGGTTGCGTAAAAAACTGGAGGCAAGTTTAAAAACATTATTTCGTAGCAATTTACCTTTTCAGTTAAGTGATTTTTGCCTGAATATTGTTTTTGTATGATATATCTATTAAAAGTAACTTATAAAAAGTAAAAAAAATTAATTTATTAATATACTTTTTTTAATTTTGTTTATAATTAAATGTATCTAAAAATAAATTGTGTCCCAACGATTTAGTAAGTTAAGTAAAATTTATAATTTGCTAAAGTTTTTTCCAGCTTTAACCACAAAATTTATTATTATTAGTTTATTATTATTATTATTATTATTATTATTATTATTATTATTAATTTTTAATTATTATTTAATTATAATTATTATTGTTATTATTATTATTAATTTATTATTATTATTATTACTAGTTTTATATAAGAAATTTTTGAGAAAAAAAAAGATATCTATATAAAAATAAAATTTTTGTAGAATAAAAAGCAAATACAAGTTTATAAAGATATTTTACAAAACATTTTTTGTTTAAAACATTGCAAACATTTAATTTGCGCTGAGTTTTATCAGCTTCTATTTTGGCTCTTTAAGTGAACGAGGTGAATAGAGTCTACAATAATTTTTTAACAAAATATTTGTCATTGTTAATCCATGATGTCTTTCCATACCTAATGAGTAGTATTCTCAATTATAAGGAGTTTACATAGTGATGAACGACAAGTGTTATTACATACTTCATAAAAAAGAACGCAACAGTAAGTTGCCCATTGGCAGCCTTTGTCACTAGGGATGGCAAAAATTTGTCCCCGGGAAATCCCAGGATTAAATAGAAAAAAATGTAAATGCAATTGAATACTTTTTAAGCACTCATCAAACATTTAAAAATGTTTAATTTAATGATAATATAACTAAAATATTTAATACATTAATGAACCACTAAAATTAAGTTGAATCATGTTTTAACTTAATTTTGTATAAAAACTTATCTAAGACTTTTAAAAATTAATAAACCTAAGTATTATAAATTATAAAGCAATATCTTAAAATGGTAACACAGTATAAATAAAAATTAAAATTAAAAAATAATATAAATATGCATGACGTTAAAAAAAACTTTCGTAAATCGCGCATTTTCATAAATCACACATTTGAAAATTAAAAAAATGGATACAAAAATGGAACTAAAATTGCACATACTTTTGGAAGCAGAAAATTCAAAATTAAATTAATGTATACCTTCTATTAAAAACTATTGCTCTTTTCACCAGCAAGCGCTTAAATTTTATTTATTTCTATAATATACTAGTTTTAATATTATACTACATATTATATATAGTATAATATTAAAACTAGTATATTATAAAAAATAACAAAAATATAAGCGCTTGCTGGTGGATATAACAAAAGTTTTTAATAAAAGTTATACATTAATTTTATTTTATTATATATTTTTAAAAATAATTAACGATATAAAAATTACTAAACTACAGTTATAAGCATAAACTTTATTAACTTTTCCTTTTTTTAACAATCTCGAAATCCTGGGAAATTTCCCAAATTGTTCATCCCAAAATCCCGGGATTTTGGGATAAACAATTTGTAGGAAATCCCGGGATTGCCATCCCTATTTGTCACCAGGAATAGTTAAACCTCTTCGATTTATATTATTTACAAAATTGCCATATGCTTCATAGAAATAAAAGGTGTCATCTGGATTTTCATCTTTACGAGTAATGTACCCAGCAATATATACTAATGACATTTTAATATCGAAAGCCAATGAATCACTAAGAGCAGGCAATTTGCTAATAATGTTGCAAATATCCTTGCTTGGTAAAAATTTACATTTTGGACAAGAGTGATCTGAACCAAGATTGATTAACAAATCTGAACTATTCTCAGACTTTAACAACAACTTTGTACGATATATAGTTACTTTTTCAAGAACTTGTTGAACAGAAATAAAATAAGTTCCTCCTGAGTCTTGTCGTAATTTTCTAAAGAGCTTTTTTAATGGAACTGTTGTAAAGTTGCCTAATAACACATACTGATGAGTTGTGCCTAAAAGATATTTTGACAGCTGAACCAAAAGCCATGACAGTTCTGAGCTAAACAATTAGCAGTATCTTTAGTTAGTAACTTGATTCTATTTCCTTTTTCCTTTTTTCATTTTTTTCATTTGTATTGCAAAATCACTTATTGTAGAAAGCTTGCTTAAATTGTCATCATCAGCAGAAGTAATAGCAGATCTATTAGAATCTTTCAAATGTCTGCATATGGACTGTGAACGTTACAAATTTTCCAAAACTCAATGACTTTAGAGATTAAAATAATTTCCTTCATTTTCATGCAGGTCTGACTTTTTAATGTTGCTAATGTTTCATCACAAAACATTTGCAAACAAGTGTTAACTTTCTGTCTTTTAATTAGTTTTGGATAAACAGAAACTTCTGTTAATTTAGACATTTTAGCAATATTCTTTGATTCAAACTTGTACAAATTAATAATATCAACCCACTGTGCTATTTTTTTTTTCTCCATCAATATAAAATTCAAGCTCTTGAGTTTTTTCTGTTATCCAGTTATTTTGTATACTTCTAAATAAATGTACATAACCAAATAAAAGAAATATTTTATCTTTAGTACACCATGCTTCTTTTTTTTCAAAAAAGTTGTAAAACTTCTGATTAACTCTGTTACCATTACAGACAATAGCAACACCATTGTCTCCATTATTTTTAATTGCGTCAAGAATCAGGGTTATCTGTTTAAAAATAAATTCAGCATCAAGTTCTCTAACTGGTAATATTTTGTAAAGAAATTTTGGTTCATTAAACAACGTTACAACCAAAAAGCTCAGTACTGTGTTTGCTAGTAATCGAGGTTTGTTAAGTGATTTGCCAAATACTATGCCACCATGGTATTGCAACATGGGTTTAACATAAACCTCATCAAGAAGTAAAACGCATGTTTTTTGTCTTTCATCTTTAAGATTAGAAAAAATATGCTTAATGTAAGTAGTATCATCTAAAGACATCATTTAGATGTAATTCTTACTAAATTACAAAAACTTGGAAGTTCTAAATCTTCTCTGATGTCATTGTAGGCTGATTGTGAAAGGCAAAAATACTCAAATGCTTGCACAATTGTTTTAATTGGAAATTTTTTTCCCTAATGCATGTTTTATTCGTTAACAAAATTTGTTGATATACAACTTCTTTTTTGTGTGTTATTTCACAACAATTTAAAAATCTTAATGCTTCTTGGATATAATAACATTTGTTTAAAATATAAACTCTGTTGGATGACAAAGTCATAACACTACATTCAACTCCACAATGGAATGCTGCAAAAGTGAAATCTTTATTTATGCGAAGAAATCTAGGAATAGCACTTCCCATTAAAAAATCTGAAGACTGAATATATAATATATCATTGCATAAATAATTGATAATAGCAAAATTAAATTCTTTAGCTTTAAATTTTTCATATAAAACATTTATACTTTTTATCTTTTTGTGATAATTAAGTATTGCTAACTCATCCACTTATTTTCCAGCAAACACTATTAGGACTTTTTGATGTTTTTTTAAGTGACACAGGTACAGTTGGGACTAAACTTGGCTTTATGCAATCAAATACTGATGGAGCATCACAAGGTCTCAGCTTCCCATAATCATTAACAGTTAAATAACCTTTTGACCAATGTCTTTCACATACTACGGTGTTATTAGTATCATGAATATTATCTCTTGGTATTATAGTAATCCAATGTTTTCGTTCTTCAATGTTTCTTGGAATTCAAAATGTTTTAACTCGATTCTGAGGATTTGTGTAACAAATTGCAATTACCATTGCAATTTGTTACACAACAGCAACAAATCATTTTTAGAATACTTATATAAATATTTCGCCTTAACTTTTACTTTTAAAGTGACTCATTTCATTTAAAACTTGAGTTGATTTGAATACTGACGGGTGTTTTGTAATCGTAAATTTTATGCAAACTTTGAACTGATGCATATATGTATATATTTATTTAACTTAAATTATATTATTTAAAATATAATATATACAAATTAATTAGTTTTATTTTAGTTAAATATTTATGTTATATAATTACTATTACAAAAAACTACCCTGTATTTATTTTGTATAACTGTTTTCGAGAATTTTCTAGTTTTTCAAATATAAAACTACCTTGACTCCAGTTTTTTACGCAAGCCGTGTGTTGGCAAGGTCTGTTATTTAGTAAGCCATGGATAAAACCACTTTTCTAGCATCAAAAAAAAGGATTACACCACTTTGATAAACCTACAGCCGGTCATTTACATATACTTTTAATACAATATTATTATATATAATTATATTACAAGTACAATAATATTAAATACAGCAAAAAATGATTATTTTATTTACTGCTATTTTTGTTTTTAAGAATAGTTTATTTTTCAAGTCAAATTATTTCATTAATTATGACATGTAATAATAAACATCTAATTTATGTTAAAACTTAGTAAATATTCACCCTTCTATGATTTAAACGCTATATATATTTCTCGATTTAAACACTATATATATATATATATATATATATATATATATATATATATATATATATATATATATATATATATATATACACACACACACATATATATACACATATATATATACACATATATATATATACATATATATATATATATATATATATATATATATATATATATATATATATATATATACAAACATACATATATATACTAACAAACATATATATATATATACAAACAAACATATATATATACAAACAAACATATATATATATATATATATATATATATATATATATATATATATACAAACAAACACATATATATATATACAAACAAACATCATATAAACATATATTGCGCTCCTCTACCAGGTCTCAAGAATGGTCTGAGGGGCAGCAATATCCGACTGTTAAATATTTATATATATATATATATATATATATATATATATATATATATATATATATATATATATATATATATATATATATATATATATATATATATATATATATAGTCAAGACTAATATGACAAATATACATTATCTTTTGATCATACAAATAGTTACTACTGTAATACTGCTTCAAGTGAAAACAACCTATCAAAACAAATGGAAGTCAAAACAACCAATCAAAACAAATGGAAGTCAAAACAACCAATCAAAACAAATGGAAGTATATACTTATTTTACTGCAATAAACAGTTTCATTTCATTCAGTGAAAAGAAAATTTTTACTATAGTAAAATGAATATTTTACTGTTCATTTATATTTTGAAGAATCACAAACCTTTGTCTCATTTCAGCATCTTTTGTAACATCACAACATTGGATGAAAATGGGAATAGCTTTATCAAGAAGATAAAAAAGGCTAGGGCCTGCCTGTGATAATAGAGAAACATAAGTATAGCAATCAGATGATTGACTACTCCATTCTGCAGATGATTTCTAGAAAAAATAACAAATTTAAAAACATAATATATAACAAATACATATCTGCATTTATCAGTGCATTCTTCATTAAACGTTTTACTGGATTTTTTATTAAATGTTTCTTTATTTTTACTAATTAAAAAAATATTATAAATTAAAGCATTGAAATTCTTTTTATTACTGAATGCACTAAAGTATCAGGTTTTCAGTAAATAAGAATATATTTATCACTAAGAATGTGTAAAAGAGCTTGTGGTGTTAGAGATAAGTTATTTACTATTTTATTTACTATTTATTTACTCTTTTTCTAATAATTCATTTATTTTTCAAAAACATGGGGGACTTTTAAAAGGAAATATTTTTTTATAGTGTTATTTTAAGTTGGCTAATTGTATATTTAACCAACTGATATTTTAAGTTGGTTAAAAGATATAGAAACAAATATATCAACTTTTACCACTAAAGACTCCATGATGCGATCACCATAAATTTTGAATAATTCAAACCGACTCTCAAGGTGCAATGTTTTACTGAGATTTATTATTTGATTTTCAGCCTAAAATAATAAATACTCAAAATCAGACAAATAATAAAACATATTTTCTTACTAATAAAACTTACTATGTTGACTTATTAAATAAGTTTTTAATTTTTAAATTACAAACTTATTTATTAAATAAGTCACTATCAGATGCAAGATCCATCAGTTAAAAGAAGTAAACATATTAAAAGATGACATTAAATTATTATACAAATATAATTCAACCTCTGTTTTCACTTGATTATTGCAAGCAAGTGCAATCACACTTAATATCATTTTAAACAAACTGCAACCAACACAAGATATTTCATCTACTTCTTTTGATATAATTGCATCAAATAAAGCTAAAAGTTGCATTTGACATGCATTATCAACAGAGCTACAGATATCTGTTTTTTCAATAATAGTTGTTATATTCTAAAAATAAAAAAAATAATACTGATATGATGACAAAAGTACTGAGTATTTCAAGTTAGCTGCATGTAACTAAAATAATAATAAAATATAATAATAAAAATTGATAATACCAAATTTATAAAAATTATAATAAAAATTGATAACGCCAAATTTATAATAAAAATAACCAAAGCCAAAATAATATTAAAAATTACAATCTAAATAAATCACTTGCAAAAAAAAAATCCTTTATACCATCAATACAAATCCTTTACCGTTAATTCATCTTTGATCTGTTGTGGAATTGCACCTTTGATGTAAGAGGTTAAAATAAGTAATGTGCCATGTATTTGTTTTGAAGTTGAATTGTAAACAAGTTCTAATCGTTTTGTTATTAGTTTGCAATATACTGATGGTTCAACAAACTTCCCAACTAATTCAGCAACCCGACTAACCTTTAAAAAAAATTAAAACTATGATTTTAAAGAAGATAAATATAAAAACAGTTGTTTGATAAAGCACATAGCTACCCATAAAACCAATTGCAATAAATGTGTATTATAAATATTTTTATACATATACAACTATATATATATATATATATATATATATATATATATAATAAAGAAAAGAAAAACTTATTTTTGCCACAATAAAAATACTTCATATCTAGGTAGTACCTATCCAAACCTAAACTTTAAATTAATGTATAAACTAAAGCACACTCAGATGTTTCAGTATGACATCATTAATGACATTTCATGCAAGGTTACATTAACCTTGACCATTAATGATTTATTAGCAAGGTGTCACTAATACTAAAGTCTTATCAGAGGAGTGACACCGATTTTTAATTTTTTAACATCTTAACCTCCAAAAAGGCTGCAAGCAACCAATATTAGAGTTGGAAGTTACTGGGAGAGAAAAGATAAAGTTTGTAAAGCAAGATAACGATTAACAACTTGAAAGATTGCAAATTATATGAATGAGGAAAACAAGATGAAAGGAGCAAATTCCAATGAACTGATGTTCGAGGAATGAAACTAGACCAAATAAGAATTTTTGGAGCACTTAAGAACAGTCACAGTAAAAGGATGAGAATTAATTGAATGATAAGTAACACGAGAATCAATTTTAGTAGATGACAAAATAAAAGGCTAGCTTTTTAGAGCAGTGCCCATTATAGTATTTATAGAAAAGAGAAAGGGGAGCAACATTACAATGATGTAACAATGGTTGAAGGTTGGCTGCAAGGACAGGTCCTATTATGTTTACAATGCCTTTTTCCATATTTTCTAAAGGAAAAAAGGCAACATTCCTAAATCCGCTCCAGATATACCAATAGTATTCCATACATGGAAATAATTGAGATTTATAGAGATAAAGAATACACTCCGGAGTAAGAAAGTGGCAAGCACGATAAAGAGATGTAAAAGTAGTTTTGCAATTGATTTGATATACCTTTATTATAATTGATTATTATATATGTTTCCAAAAAATGTCGGAAGTAAGAGTTAATCATAGAAGACGAAGGGTAAATAACTCATCAAATACATTACCATTCATAAATATAGGAAAATCTAGATTATTGCACTTGTTAAATAGTTTTGAAAGTATAGATGACAGCTCTGAAGAACACTTTTGCAAGACTATAACAGGTGTGTTGTCTGGACCACAAGCTTTAGAAGGGTCTAAATAGGAAATCACTTTAGATACAGTAGCTGAAGTGATTCGAATGTAAAGCAATGGATCAACTTGTTTGTCAGTTATATCATGTTGGATGTTATTAGTGGAATCAAGAGATAAGATTGATGAAAAGTTCTTAGCAAACAATTCAGCTTTGCTTTTGGGTAAGGTAATAAAATCTGAACGATGCAAGAGAGGAGGAATAACAGATTTGCCCTTATTATTGACACTGTTAAAGATTCTTCAGAAGTCACAAGTGCCCAATTTTTTAGATGAAATACGAGATTTTGTGACCTGAGAATAGCATCTTTGGTGTTAGACAAAACCTTTTTACAATGGTTTCTAGCAATAGTAAACAGACATCTATTTTTTGGAGAATTGTTTTGGCAATAAATATGGAAGTAATGGTTATGATTGGAAATTGTAGCAGTACAATGAGAGGAAAACTATAGAGAAGAGTGAGGCTTGACTTGGAATTGCCAAGAGGGAATAAAAGATTCCATGCCAGCCTAAATACAAGAAGTTATATATAAGAAACACATTTGTCAGCAGGAAGACAAAAGATTTCTATCCAAGGGCCATCACAAAGAAAATCATGGAAAGAGTCCCAGTCAGCATTAAGGTAGTTGTAAGAGGTACGATTTTAGGGGGATTCTGATGATGAAGAAGAATGAGATAATAGTTTTAAAGAGATCAAACTGTGATCAGAAGCACCTAAATGTGAATGTGGAGAAACTGAGCACTGACTAGGATCAGAAACAAAATATAAGTAAAGTAGAAAAGATAAATGATTTGAGTTGTCTGGAAAGCGAGTTGGAAAGTTGACTAATTGTGTTAGAGATTGAGAAAGGCAAAAGTTATGGGCCTTAACACCTGCAGAGCCACTGACACTAGAGCAAAGCCATTCAGTGTGATGAGCATTCAAGTCACCAACAACAATGATATTGGCTGAAGGATAAAGAGAAAGGGCTAGGCCAATTTGATAAAAAATAACATTAAAGAGTGCAGTTTTGAGATAAAGGAAAGTGGTTTAGAACAAAGAGAAAGGTGATAGAGTGAAGTGGTACTAAACAAAAGCACATAAAAGAATGGATGAACTCTAACAAATGTAAATGCCCAGGCCAAGCATGTGACTATTCTAGTCTTTACCAATTGAAGGAAGATAACCATCAGCACTAAGATCACAAGATAAGACAGCTCAACTAAATATAATATGCATAATAATAAGCACAAAGACATACATTAAAAAATATAGAACGTAATAGCTAGATTAAAGCACATAAAAATTACATTAAAAATAAATATGTAGAAAAAGTAATTTGCAGGTTATAATAATAAAAAAAGGGAAAAATAAACATACGAACAAGTAAAATTAAAAACAAATTTTTTTTAAATTAAAAACCCAATGATTTTATATATTAAAACAAAGTTTGCAATCAATTTTTTCTGATATTACTATTTTATTTTATTAACATTCGGCTGTATGTGTGAATAAAACATTCGGCTGTATGTGTGTGTAAAAAAACAAAAATAATTCAGTAAGAGGCGGGTCTTGAACCACAGACATTTTGTTTACGAAGTAACCTCTTATCCAAATAATCTCAATGTGCGTGTATGTAAAAAACAAATAATATACTTATTTTAAAAATTATTATTCTTCTTTCCATATAAAAAATAAACTTAATTAAAATTAACTAAACTAACTGACTTATTGTAAAACTAATTGTATTGTCATCAAGCAAGAGTATGTTTGTAAAGTTTAAGATGAAGAAAATTATTTTAAGATGCAGTTTTTTGAACGCTTTTAAAACACATACAAAGCTTTTGTTCCATTCACAGACACACACTGATAGACAATAGAATGTACACCATACTTCTGGGTTTTATACAATGGCACATTTAGTTTTCCATTGTATATATTTTTAGTTGAGTAGGAATGTAATAGTCTACTTTCCATGAAGAAGTTTGTAATGGAAAAAGGCTGATTTTTATGTAAGGAGTCAAAAACAAAAAGAAGATTGGCATACTTTACTAATGATAGAAATGTTTGAATGTTAAGTTTTTGGAAGGACTCTAATGTATTTGCTTTAAATGGCAGGAAGTTTTTTTTTTTTTAATGGATTGAGACTGAAATGATAGCAACTTGTTAATGCAATAGTTTCCAACTTGACTCAAAACTTGACAACAATGACTAAGATGAGATGAGAATAATGTATAGTAAATATTCTTTAGTGTAACTTTATTGACATTTCAATTCCAATGACGAATTATTGAAAGCATACCATTCAGGTTTCTTGCATAACTTATTGATGTGAAAGTTCCCATAAAAGATTGCAGTCAATTAACACACTAAGATATTTAATAACTCTCGAAGGATATAGCTATTTATTACTAATTTTCATTTTCAACATTTCAACATGTTTATAGAAATAGTTTTTTTTCAGTGATGTAAAAAATTAGTTCAGTTTTTCAAAACATATTAGGTTAACATTTAACTAGTGAACTACACCTTTTAGATTCAAATTTACATTTTTTCATAAATTTGTTGATATGCAAGAGATTTGTATTATCAACAAACCAATGAACTGACAAGAAGTAAACAGAGTTGGTTAGGTCGTTAGTACCAATGAACTGACAAGAAGTAAACAGAGTTGGTTAGGTCGTTAGTACCAATGAACTGACAAGAAGTAAACAGAGTTGGTTAGGTCATTAGTACCAATGAACTGACAAGAAGTAAACAGAGTTAGTTAGGTCGTTAGTACCAATGAACTGACAAGAAGTAAACAGAGTTGGTTAGGTCGTTAGTACCAATGAACTGACAAGAAGTAAACAGAGTTAGTTAGGTCGTTAGTACCAATGAACTGACAAGAAGTAAACAGAGTTGGTTAGGTCGTTAGTACCAATGAACTGACAAGAAGTAAACAGAGTTAGTTAGGTCGTTAGTACCAATGAACTGACAAGAAGTAAACAGAGTTGGTTAGTTCGTTAGTACCAATGAACTGACAAGAAGTAAACAGAGTTGGTCGTTAATGTAGAATAAAATCAAAAGAGGACCAAAAACAGATACCACAAATTCCACTATGTCTTAATTTAGAAATCAAAATATTATAGCCAGCAATCTTAAAAGCTTTTTATAAATCGATAAAAACACCACAAACAAAATGACCAGTATCAAGCGCTTTTCTGATTTTTGTTATACTTAAGAATGCATGGCAAGTAGAATGTTTTGATCGAAAATCAAATTGAAAATTATTTAAACAATTAAATGAGTTTAGAAAAGAGTGCACTCTAGAATACATAAGTTTTTTTAGAAGCTAGCTAAAGTTAGATAAAAGATAAATAGGTCTATAGCTAGTGCATAAAAATATAGAACCATTTTTAAAAATTGGAATAAGGCAAGAAAAAATTAAAATATCAGGAAATGTTCATTCATGAATGAGGTATTAAATACTTTTGGAGGAATATTTGAAAATTCATAGTTAAAATCTATAAGAATGTTTGTGGGAATGTTGTTTGAACCTAATAATTTTCTTAGATTAAATTTTTATATAAAAGATTTCAAAAATATTTGTTGGAGAAGATAGTAAACTATGTAAATTTGGATATTTTTATATAAAAGATTTCAAAAATATTTGTTGGAGAAGATAGTAAACTATGTAAATTTTGATATTTTTATATAAAAGATTTCAAAAATATTTGTTGGAGAAGATAGTAAACTATGTAAATTTGGATATTTAAGATACTTTTGATAGTTAACACAAATGAATAT